CAAGCAACAAATAGATATCATCATTGAGCTTGCATATGTCAGTGAAACACCCCTGGCTTCGCTCATGTAGATAAAATTCAACTGCGGTCTTAGCCCAAAGGGTGTTATCCAGAATTGTGTCCGGTAGTTGTTTCCTCTCCTCTTCAGATACCGGTATGGTACTGGCCGGTAACTCATACGAGAGCCAACTTGAATCCATCATGTCCGGCACGTCAGAGGGTTTCTCAAGAATCCTATATATGACGCCATGTGAATCGGGCTCTTGAATGGTGGGAGGGACCTCTTCAACGATGACAGTGGCATCTTGAACGGTGGGAGGGGACTCTCGAGGAATGATAGGGGCCTCTTCAACGATAGGAGTGGACTCTTGAGGGATGATAGGCGAGTCGGGCTTCTTCTTGCGGTGTCTTCGCACTATTGGGGTATACGGAGACTTAATAGCACGTACACGCCGTCTGATGTGTGAACTCTGTCGTGCAAGAAAAACCCGACGTAAAGCATCCACCTTATCGGTCCGCTAAATAAAAATACAAATATCAGTAAATAAACAGACATGATATTTAAACAGTGAAAACAAAGATAAATATATTTCAAACTTTCAACCAAAAGACAAAACAAAGACAAATACTAACTTCACAGTGTTAAAGTAAAAAGTTTAGCAGTTTTGGCAGCAACCGAATAAATTTACTAAGCAATCTAAGTGAAATGGTTAATTTAAGTGAAATTACGAGTAAATTTATCATCAAGTTAAATATGGAAAATCTTAAACTTACCTCGTTGCGTAGAGTATGAACCTCATTCTGCAACGATACTACCATCTCACGTAGAGCGGCAACCTCACCACTTAAAGTAGACACCTCCACACGCCATGCACCATCGTTATCGCGTAGAGTACCGATCTCCTCACGCAAGGCATTGACCTCATCACGTAACTCCCTTGACTCATCCCGTGGAGGTGGAGAACAGGGAGATAGAAGTCGTGGCATCTTTGTCGGTCGCCTATCATGAGGTGATGGTGGAGAAGAGACTCGATGATGTGACGGGATAGGTGATGGCTCTCGTTGTAGAGGTGTATAGTCGGGTCGATCAGGTGATGACTCTGGGTGAGGTGATGGCTCTCGAAGTGGAGGAAGTGGAGGCTGCTCATCATTCGTGCCATCAAAAAAACGCTGACTAGCTTGCCACCAATCAGTGGCAAGCTCAGCCTCCGTGGGTGTCAGTCTCATTAATGGAGTGTTGGCCTCCTAAAAATATAATAAAAACTAAACAAAGTTAAATGTCTACTATTAATAACTTGTTTATATATGATAGTATTTGTGTTAACTTACATTATTTATTGTCGCATATGGTATTAAGTCTTCCCAATCCAACATACGTTTCCTCTTCCAGGAAATAGCCCTAGGAATATCATCTGAGGATTTTAATGCATATGTCCGCATGCTGGTGAAAGCCTCGAATATCCAAATCTACAAATAATATAATAACAAACATTAGTAATTGTTAAATAATTAATTATAATTTTGAAAACATTATATAGAAATTCTTACCTTAAAGGCCCAAACAAAGCCTGACAAAGTGTATTTCGACCCATCGCCCCGCAAACTTTTGCGGTCATCAAAGGCAGACGACAACTTAGTCCAGGTAGCTTTCCATATATACGAACCCCACGGAAACAGATTCCATGCATTTAGGTCCTCTACCAATAATATTAGCTCCTGAGGAATAGGTTGTCTGGCCTCTCTGCCTAGAAAGCCGGCATACAAAAGTAGTAGAAGGCATACTCGGACAACATCGACGTCATTCATCCGAGTAAAACCATCTTTCTTATTAAACAATTTCTTCATGTTGTCGACGTGTAAGTTCGGCTTCTCTATTGACTCATCAGGAAAAACCCTGGATAACCATGATGGGCGGGTGATATGACGAGTGTACCGGCCTACATCATCGTGTCCGAATCGTAGACCAGTGATTAAGCAGAACTCCTTCCGCCCAAAACAAGTATACGCCGGTGGAAAATGAAACCATATCTCTTCCTCACCACGTTGTATACTGTCGGGTAGATCGCTAGTCATGGTCTGAAGCCACAAATGGGTCAAACTAGCATCTCCACCCGGATGCTGTACTCTCAGCCATGGCCCGAAGCAGGTTTCTTCAAACAATTTTCTTTGTGCAGGTGAAAGCTTCGAAGCAATTGTAGTGGCTAGGCTAACTTTATTCCTTAATGTCAATGAAGCCGAAAAAAATTTCTACAAAAAAACAATAAACATACCAAGTTAGATATACCAAAAATTACACTGTCAAGATATACCAAAAACAAAACAATAAACATAAATAGTAGTTTATTCTTGAAACTAAAATTTACAACACTGTTTTTGTCTTTTGGTTGAAATGAAAATCGCAACGAGATAATGAGAATCGCAACGCGAAATGACTATCGCGACCAGACAATCGCAACGCGAAATGAAAATCGCAACCGCGAAATAAAAATCGCAACGCGAAATGAAAATCGCAACGCGAAATGAAAATCGCAATGCGATTTTGGTTTCGCGTTGCGGTTTTTATTTCGCGTTGCGATAGTTATTTCCGCGTTGCGATTTTCATTCTCGAAACTATTCTTCTTCTGCATTACTTCAACCAAAAGACAAAGCAAAGACAAATACTAACTTCACAGGCTAAACAGTTTAGCAGTATTGGCAGCAATCAAATGAATTTAATAAGAAATCTAAGTGAAATGGTTAATCTATTATTGAAATTACCAGTAAACTTATCATCAATCTCAATATGAAAAACCTAAAATAATGCAAAAATTTCAAAATAAAAATAATAAAAACTAACCCTCGTAGGTTGATTTTCCATTTCTGAATGATTGTGAGGGATTTTTGACTGTGAATGGTTGTGAGGGATTTCGCCGGCGATGGGGACGGAAATCTTCGGAGATGGGTACGGATTTCGCCGTAGAGAGTGAGAGATGGAGATGGGACTGAGTGTTGTGTTTTTGGGTTTGAGGTTATGAGTTGCGATTACTGTGGACGGTTCATTTTCCGATTTATTAAGAAAAAATACGTGTTTGGAATTTGAAAAAAAAATACGCGTTAATACGAATGGCGCTATGTAAATCGCGTTGCGAAAGTCAGTATCGCGTTGCGAAAGTAAGTATCTCGTTGCGATTTTGTATTATCGCATTGCGATAGTAAGTATCGCATTGCGATTTTCCCAATTCGCGTTGCGATTTACTTATTCGCATTGCGATTTTCCCAATTCGCGTTGCGATTTACTTATTCGCATTGCGAATTGGGAAAATCGCAACGATACTGTAGACCATCGCAACGCGATTTTCAACTATCGCATTGCGAAAATGCAACGCGAATTTGCGATAATGGAGATCGCGTTGCGAATTAGCGATCGCATTGCGATTTTGTTTGTCATTTTGGCAAATCCGGAAAAAGTTGGTTAAAATCGTATATTATATGGGATTTTTGGTCACTGAGGTTATTTTCTCTTAAAATTATATAACTTTGTTATCTAAAAACATCAAATAAATTTAATTATTCTCAAATTGATGAGATATTGTTTAACCATGATTTTGCCCTATCCCTCAGTGAATAGGAGAATAATTTCAGTATTAGGACATCCTCATGGACTCCTTGTTGCTTGAATGAATTACAGATTTCCATGAATGATTTGAGATGTTGTCTAGCATCTTCTATTGTCGATCCACCAAATTGACCAATTGTGTTGATCATATTGAACATAACTGGTTTTAGTTCGAAATAGGATGCTTCTGTTTTGAGTGTGGCAACTCCTATATTTAGACCGTTGAGAACTTCTTCTAAGTAATCTCGGATGGTTCTGTTCTATACTTGAGCAGGTCGCTCGACTAAAGCTCATATTTCCCTTGCTTCGGCTACTTGATCACCGACGACAATTGGGTTGTTAGTCTGATTGTTTCACTCCATTTTGGGTTCAAATGGGTACTCTGGTGATGTTGGTCTCGTCCTGTTCATACACAGAAGCAAAACCAAGAATTGTATATGTAACATCCCAAAATCAGGGCCAGTGACTAAAGTGAAAGTTTTTGAAATTCAATTATCAATTTAGGAAAAATTTAAAAGTTCAGGGACTTAAATATGAATATTTTTGTAGTGGATTAAATAGCAATGATGGAAAGAATGAAGGTTATTTTGGTCTTTTTAGTTTTAAGGATATTTTCTCTCCTTTATTAAGAGATAAACACGTGGGATTTGGATGAAATCTCTGGAAGCCATTTCCTCTTGCTTTCTTCTTCTTCCCGTTAGCTTCATTGCAAAGGTGAGTTGGGTTATAATTGTTTATTTCTTGAATTTCTAAGTTGGTTCTTGTTCTTTGGGTTTCATATAAGCTTAAGGAAAGCTTATATAAGATTTAAACAACAAGAAGAGATAATTAGAAAGGAAATTGTAAAAAGGGTGAAGAAATGAATTGTTTGTATGAAGAAGTTTTTGAAGTTTTATTAATCAATTTAACTTGTCATAAGAAGGATTAAGAAGTTTAAAGCATTATAAATGAGTTTAGAACACATGGAAAGTTTAGTAAAATTCTTAAATTGAAGAGTTATAGTGAGTTATTGAAGATGATGAAGTGTTATAGTGCTAAAAGATTGTTTAAATATGTATAGCTGAGTGTAAATGCATGAATAGAGTTAAATAAGTAGAGTTTAGGTAAAGTATTGGGAATTTTTGGGTTAAAGAAGTCTATTCTGGGTTAGTAGTATCAGTACTGGTTGAGTAAGTACCGATACTACAAGGCGAAATATGTGAAAATTATGTGTAGGTATCGATACTTCATGAACATTATCAATACCATAAGGCAATAGTGGGATATAAGCTTCATGGGGTATCGATATTGAAGTGATAGTATCGGTACTATGGATATCGATACCATTCTTAGAATAAAATTACAGAATACCGATTAGAAATCTATACCGTGGGATGATATTGATATTACAAGCATGAAGGTATCAGTACCGTAACTGTAGTACCGATACTACTTTAATTGGAAATATGAAATATGAAATTAGTGATTTGTTTAGTTTATATTAGTAAGAATCTTTTCAAATAGTTTGAATTCCGATATTTATTGGTTTGTGTATTCGTGTAGATATCGATCGAAAGCAAAGTCCCGGCAAATTGACAAAGTAATATTTATTGAGAGAGCGATAAAAGATTTGTATCGACTAGTGAGACCAAGGTGAGTACATAATATTAAATATAGGTTATGTTAAGGAATTAAGACTTGTGATGAGTCTAATTCCGATATTAGAATACATGAGTACTTTAATACAAGCATGTAGTGATATAATGCTTATGTGTACATGAGTATGTGCATATGTCTAGATGTTAAGTGCATATCTATATGTTATCTATATGAACTATGCGTGATAATAGGTTATGTAATCATAAGAGATAAAATATGTGACAAAAGATATGTGAAAGTGATTATATGTCTATATGAAAACATGTATATGTGAATGAGCTATGTGACTATGTGAACATATGAATACATGTCTATGAGATAAGCCACATGACTATGAGATATATGATAAGAAGTTATGTGATTAAATGATCACAAGATATATGTTTATGTGATATGAATATGTGAATATGTGACAAACATAAATGCTAATGTCCTATGTGATATGAGAGCTATGGGTATAGTTGGCATGCCAAGAGTCGAAGGTTAATAGGTTCTTCGGGAAAAATTTCACATGCCACTCAGTGGATCCTTATACGAGGGTTGGTGATAGTATATGTGCACAACCTTAATGTACTCACATATCTTTTGTTCTCAGAAGTATACATGGGCTATTAAGAGTGATCTAAACAAGTACAATGCATATGAGGTATATGCTTGTGATGTGAATTGTATTACATTAATTATTTGATGTGGAAGGTATTTTTATATATGAAAGTATATAATTATGTAAATAAATGAAAATCATGTCAATAGTAATAATAATGACATATGTGCATATAAGCTTTATGTGTATGAAGTGTACATTATATGCATTATTTGTTACGTAGTCATAGTTTTCATTATTTATTTATATATCTCACTAAGTCTACGACTTAGCGTGTGAGTATTTCACACGTAGGATCCGAGAAGTATCAAGAGAAGATAGGCAGCGGAGACAACATAGTATCACTGAAGATCAGATCAGAAGAATTTTTATCAGTATGTCTCTTTGTTGTAATATGTATGTATAATGTTGGCATGTACTTAAAAGATGAAATGGTATATGCTCTGAACAATTTTTTGTAAACTTTTTGAGTTGATATTTGTAAATTATTCCATATGCTTAAATTAAATCTAAATTTTTTCTCTATTTTAAATAAGTAAATGATTTAACGGACATCTCGGACTCGTATTTGGGTCGGATACAGGTTGGGGGTGTTACAATAAATCCATTGAATTCGATTAAGAAAGAAAAATAAAATAAAAGTGCAAGAAATAAAAAAATCAAAGTCGTTTTTTGCCAATCCCCAACAACAACGCCAAAAACTTATTGTGTGGTTTAAATGCTTCGCAATTGGTGTAAGTATACACGTTGCAAGTTATAGTATAGAAAGATATCGTCTCCACATGGATTGGTGAAACTCTAAGTTCTAACTTCTTGCAGTGAAAAGTAAATTAGAATTGTGATTGTAGTAGTTCGAGTAACAAGTAAAAAAACAAGTAAATAACAATAGATGAAGATTGAGTAAAAGAGTTGGCTTGGGGTATCACGATTAGTGATGTGTCAACTGTTTGAAAAGTCCGAGTCGTTGATTACCGAGGCAATAGGCTGTCGAGGCAATTAGTTGTCGTGGCAACTAATTGTCAAAGCAACTATGTACCTTCCTTCAAAGCTCAGCAGAGCGTTCTTCAATGTCTTATTGTTATTCCTAACTTGAAAGAACTGGTCAATAGTGCATGTCTTGATGATACATTCCTGCATTAACCAATGGTGGACAATAAATCTTATACTCCATTTATCCGTTGAAATTCGAATCTTATCCCTAAGATGGATTAACCTTCACCAACGTTCATTCAAATGAAGATCATGCTCATTCGTTTCTTGAATCTAACTCTCCCGATATTAGATAAACAGATACTCTGGAGACCCTCTCCCAATTCACTCGAAATTCAATTAAGGAATCAAGAATGAGCAAGCTTTGAAGTAAAAGAAAAGACAATCAATAACTTAAACAAACCCAAAGGTTTTCACCACCACCAAATCACAATAACTCAAGCCAAAATAAATCTAGTTCATGGTTGGGTATGAAAAAAACAACATGAAAAGAAAATAAATAAAGAAGAAAAAAAGAAAGAATTTGTGTTCCCTCTCTCCCGCCCTCCATTCTTGAGCGTCCTCTTCGTCTCTTTATAGGATGTGTGTGCTTGCTTTATCTTCTTGGAGGAGAACTTTAAATCTAATAAAAGAGCTAAATATTCTCCTTATCTTTAATTTCCTTTGTGAGCAAGGTTTCTTCTCTTTTTCAAACTCTTTGTGTAATTCCAATCCCCTTCAATGAGTTGGAATTATCCTTTCACCTTTATTCTGCAAAATTTAACTCACACTGTAATATCTTTTCCTAAAAAAGTGATAAATATAATAATAACCAACAGTGAAAGTTAATTTCGTATTTGTGCATGAAATATAACTAACAAAATTAAAATTATCTTGGATTTAGCAATAATTATGACGACATATAGGTATAAATTGTGATACTTCCGTACACTTATCAGGGGTCCAATAGCCTAAAAGTTTGAGCAACACCTTAATAAATAAAACACCAATGAGAGGAAGATTGGGAGCAATAATTCCAAAGAAGCAACATCATGCTGATTTAAGTTCAGCACCAAAAATTATTCGAGATTTGTTGCTGCTGAGTAGTTTAAACAGATTTGAGATACTTTCTTTCTACAGAGCAATGAACTAAAAGGAGCAAACCAAACCTGCATTGGAACCTTACTTGCTTGATGAAATTGTTGAGACGTCCAATTTTTGAGTCCACAGCTACCTGCATTTTATTCTTCCAGCGGTCAATATTGGATTCATTCGTAAAGATTACCTAAATATTGCACGAACCAAAGTCACAATAAGAAAACAGATAACAAAACCAGCTTAAAGCTCTCTTCATAAAGACTCTGCAGCTTCTCTGGTACTGAAGAATACATAAGGGACCAAGCATCTGCACCTACCTTGAGAGAAAGATACATTTTTATCAATTCAAAAAAGTGAGCAGCTGCTTCAAGTTGACAAGTACACCAGAGCACTTACGGTTGGGCAAAACAGGGTGGCAAGGCCACTCCCACATTCGTTGGCACAATACCATTTCCCGTTTATTCCCCATACCCCCTAAACCTCTAGTTCCTATTCCCTGCATGGCAGTTATGTTGAACTGTACTCGATTTGATCATTAGAATGCACGGGAAGGACAAAAGAATGTAACATCATTCAGAACCAAAACAAGTTAAAATATGAGCATGCAAGTGAATGTCATGGAACAAACTAACTGAATTCAAGAATCTCATTTAACAAAGATGTGAAACCAAGTGACGGGAAAAAAGCATTTACTTTGTTCATCCAATGCAATACATGTCAGATTTATGCAATGTCAAATATAAAGTAAACTGCATACATCCATACCTTCTAATAGATGTGTTAGCCAGACAACCATCGAAATCGAAACCAGCAATTTTACCAGAATCATGGAGACCCTCATCCTGAGTAGCATAAGAATCAAATACTATAAGATATTTGGACGTAGAAATATCGATCACCTATGACATAGCCACTGCTTCAATGGAAAATGCATCCGATTCAAGTTCTTTATTCTATTCCATTATTATAAGAATAAATGTGTTTTCCAAGGAATATTGATCATCTATAACTTGGCCTCTGTTTTTTTATTCCTTACATCCCCTCGCCTTTAATCCGATCAAACAAATTCAAGAGCTAGCAATAATGGCCAGAATCGGACCTTTTCCACAATTCCGGGAGCCCGTCTTTATTCAGAAAAAAGCTCCAAACGCCGCCATCAAGAAGGATGAGAAAGTCGTCAACACCGCCCGTCGAGCCGGCGCCGAGATCAAATCCTTCAAAAAATGTGTTTTTTTTATTCTTTTTCCCCCTTCTCTTGGTGAAGAAAGAGAGATTTTTTTTCCAATCTCAAATAGGGTTATTTTCATCGATGATAAACAATAATAAAAATCTGTTTCTTGTTAATGGGAACTTCCAGGGAATGATGGGACGAACAAGGCGGCCTCCAGTGGTACTACTTTGAACACAAGGAAGCTTGATGACGAAACTGAAAATTTTGCTCGTAACAAATACTTTATTCCCTTTCATTTTTTTCCTTCTATTTCTCCGATTATAACCGAATTATGGTTGTATTAAATTACTTGTTTTTACGTATGAAATCAAATTATTGCTCACAAGTGTTTGAGTCGTGTTTAAAATCTAATGAACAGATGAAAGAGTGGCAACAGAACTGAAGAAAGCTATCATGCAGGCTCGAATGGATAAGAAACTCACCCAGACTCAACTTGCCCAGGTATTTTAATGAATAAACATGAATAAGTTAAATTTCTTAATGGACGAACAAAAAATTCCGTTTGTTTAATTGTTCATGTCCGTTCGTTTGTTCGATTAAATTTAAATGAACGAACATAAATATATCCTCATTCGTGTTTGTTCCATCTATTTACATACCTAAACAGTGTTACATCTGACCTTTTTTTATTGTCACTGAATCTTTCATGTCATCCTACAGATGATCAACGAAAAGCCTCAAATCGTACGAGATTATGAATCCGGAAAAGCTATTCCTAACCAGCAGATAATCGGTAAACTCGAGAGGGCACTCGGTACGAAGATGCCAAGGCACCGGTCGACACCGTCCATCGGAAAAGACCCTGATGTTTCGCTACTTTCCGGCGAAAAAGTCTATCACGTTTCGCTGCTGCTCAACAGAAAAGTCTATAATGTTTCGCAACTGTTCAACAGTGAGGAGTTTAATTTCTTTCTGTGGCTTTTCACAGAGAACGATGGACTCCCAAGTTATTATGGTTCTCATTGTAGTGGTTTCAAAGACTGGGGGGCTTATCCAACATTATAGCTTGCTATCCAAAGTGTGTTAACCTGTATCATGGGCTACTATTTGAATGATCTTTGTTTTCTAATCTCCTTCTTCCTGGATGAAGTTGTTGACTTTCTGCAGATCAACTTAGACGTGTTCAAGTACGGTATTTTTCGGTTTCGTAAATCTGAAAATCAATTTAAGTAGCATAGGAGTCAGTGGCGGAGCCACATTTTGGTGAGAGAGTACGAATTGAAATTCAAATATTCTTCGATTAATTAATTATTTTATTGATGATGTCTACATTGAAATTTTTCGTGTCTACCCTAAAATATAAATTTTCTTTGATTAATTAATTGTTTTACGGAGGTGTCTGTTGGTTTTTGGCAAAAGTCCCACATTGGTTGTGTATAAGGAGGAGGAGAAATTCTTTTGTTATAAATAAAGCCCTCCTCCTCCTTAGTTAATCATCCCACAAATATAAGTCTTCTTCTATTTTAAAGGTTATTTGTATTCTTTCTCTCTTTGTAATATTTCTTCTATTAGTGAAATATTTTGGTGTTCTCTTTTATGTCTATTTAATAGCTATTGTCAGGTATAGTTATTGTCAATTATTGTCCTATTAAAATTACTTGTCTTGGTAGTTCTGTCTAAGGAAAGTGGGTTTTAAGAGGGACCATTGTGACCCCTCCTCTTTCCTGGGAATCTACCTTGGGGTGATTTTTAGTACAATCGTTTTCACACTAGTCACCTAGATAATAGTTTTCAAGGTGAATCTGTTATTGGTGGAAATTAACCCGAATTTCACAACAGTGTCCACCCTAAACTACTGGTTTTTGGTTTATTTTACTAATGGAACTTTCAATTTTTTTTAAAAAAAATTATACCTAAAGTTTAGTTTAAATTACGTGTTTAGTACCTAATCTATTAGTTTTTGGTCCGTTTTTTAGTAGCTAAACTTCAAAATTTTTAAAACCATACATTAAGTTTAGTTTTTTATTTTATTTTAGTACCCAATTCAAAATTTAACGTTAAGTTTTGAAAAAATTGAAAGTTTAGGTACTAACACGAACCAAAACTGATAGTTTAGGTGCTAAACGCGTTAAGTTTTTAACGGTGTGGTATTAAAATGAAATGAAAACTAAACGTTAGATATAGTTTTTTAAAAAATGAAAATTTAAGTATTAAAATAGACCAAAACTGATATTTTAAGTAAATACGTAGTTTACCCTAAATTTTACTATTAGTTCATGTAATCATGTAATTTAATAATACTATATCTGTATTATTTTAATCAGAAATGAAAAGTTTCACAATTAAAAAATAATAGGAATTAAAAATTGATGAGATTAGAGTATATAGACTAAAATTGATAAAATTAAAATATAAAGATTAAATCCATAATTTATACATAAATTTAGAGAGTAATAACAAATTTAACCAACAAAACTCCTACTGTAGACGGGATTTCGTTCATTGTAAAGAAGCCCAAATCAGAAGTTCACTCCAAAAAGCTTAATTGCCACGTCATCTAATAATAATACTAATTAATGAATTAATAATCGGATAATTAATGTTTAATTTTTGTATTAGTGATAATTTCTCTTTTTGATTCCTTACTTTCCCTTCCGTTTAATCCGATCAAAGAAATTCAAGAGCTTGCAAAAAATGGCCGGAATCGGACCTTTGACTCAAGACTGGAAGCCCATCGTAATTCGGAAAAAAGCCCAAGCACCGCGACCAAGAAGGATGAGAAATTCGTCAACGCCCCCCGTCGAGCCGGCTCCGATATCGAATCAATAAAAATGGAACTTTTTTTTTGAAAAAAATTCCCCTTTTCTTTTGGGAAAAAATAATAGAAATACGTAATATAATTTGCATTTTTTTTTATCTCAATTAGGGTTACTTTTTTCCGATGATAGAGAATGATGAAAATTTGTTTAATGTTAATGGGAATTTACAGCAAATGCTGGGACGAACGAGGCAGCATCTAGTGGTACTACTTTGAATTCAAGAAAGCTTGATGAAGAAACTGAAAATCTTGCTCGTAAGAAATCCTTTATTCCCTTTCCTTCCATCCCTCATTTTTATCATGTACAAGTCGAATTAGTTGTTCAACTATGCTGCTATGAGTTTATTTGCATAAACTTGATGAATTACCTGATTACATTTTCCCGTGATCTCCTTCGATCTCCTTTTCTAACAAGCGAGATGCTCTTCTCATTTACATAATCTGCTGTTATGATATGACCCTAAGCCTAGCCTCCAAGTGTTTGACCTGCTTTTAAAAACTAATGAACAGATGAAAGAGTGCCAACAGAACTGAAGAAGCCATCATGCAGGCTCGAATGGATACGAAACTTGCCCAGGTCTCTCTTCATCCATGTTTATGCTTGATGCTTATTCCCTAAGAGTGTTACAGCTCCCTTATTTATTGTTAAGTTCTTTCATCGATTCTTTCATGTCATCCTACAGATGATCAACGAGAAGCCTCAAATCATACAAGAGTATGAATCCAGAAAAGCTATTCCTAACCAGCAGATAATCAGTAAACTTGAGAGGGCACTTGGTGTGAAGCTGCGAGGGAAGAAATGAGGAGTCTAAACAGAATTCGAATATGGTGTCCAGTGTCTGAGTCCTAAAACTTTGTGATGTAAATAAATGTTCTCTACCGGTACAATGGTTTCGTGTGGAATAACGGTGTCTTCGACCTTGTCCGATGACTATGACTACGACTATGAAGTTTGTGTTCTTGAATGTTACAAGGAATTCTCTTGAATGTTCGCTTATATTTATTAGTAGGAAAACCTTGGAAAATGCCTTTCTAAGGCTTTTTACTTGTTAGCAAAGTCATTGAAGTATTTTTCTCTGTGTGATTTCAATAGAAACCGTAACTTTTGAAATATCTTTACCAAATGCTTCTAATTTGCCTAACTGGTCAAGAAACGAGGGAGAAAAACCGAATAAACGAAAGAGATTTCTAACCTCAAATTTCAAAACATAATAACTGTAAGAAATGCTTGCAGCCAGTAATTTCAGTTAATGTTATTAGATACAAGAGAAACATGTACATGATTTGCTTTGTCTCACTAAGCCAAGGCTGTCTAGAAGATTTGAAAGTGACATTTTAAAAAACATTATACTTAACATGCAGAACAACTTGTTTATATATATATAGACATAGAATCACTCACAAGCCAGCTTTGTACCAAAGCTTGTAAGGCAGATGGAAAAAGCAAGAAAAGCTGACAAGGGCTGCCTATAATCCATGGTGAATGTATCATCCGCTACTTTACCGAACTGGAGAACAGTTTCCTCCTCTTCTTTCCCTCCCGGTTGGCTCTGCTCCACAGTTGCAGCCAGCTGAAAGTTTTTCAATGATGCTACAGTTACCCAACCATGGGAATTCAAGCACCAGCACTGTAAATGTTCATGCCATCTTGGAGCTTTGTTTCTCAAAGTTGTATGGCCAGATATACATCATGCTCTGGCATTTTCATCTTAGTGTTATCTAAATGCCTGTCATCAACCATATCTTCCGGGAAAGGGCACTGTATTGAGCAAATCATTCTCCTGGGACCTCTTGATTTCAAGAGATTGAACTTGTACGAGACTTGCCCAACCTCGAAATTGCCAGCTGAAACTTGGGGGCAGATTTGCTTACTTGCAAATCTGCGACTTGATCTGCTGCTGGAGGGCTTTGCACCACTATGTGGAGGCTGACTATCATAGATTTTAAAGTTGGTACCTAGAAAATCCGAACTACAAAGATTTTGAATTTGTGTCAGCTGAATTATAATCCGAACTACCATAAATTACAAATATTTAAAACCTTAATGAAATTTATACATGCTACCTTAAAACATTTGTACCAGATAATGAAATTATATCTCAATTTCAATTAAAAAAAAGTTTTTTTTAATTACCTGCTTAAGACAGGAAGGGAAAGTGATTTTGCCGCTATTTTGAGGAGAAGCCTTAACGATCTCTCTAGTAACTTCTCTCCACTTCTTGCGCACGCAAGCGCAAGCAACCACGTCTTTCCTTCCGGGCCACATTTCTTCACTCGCTTCCACGCCCTCCAGTATCTCAATTAACAGCTCCGGCTGCAACGTCGACCACGAATCCCCTCCATCATCCGGCATGGACGGAGAAGAATCACAAGACTCCGGCTGATCCTCCCTGGTCGAGGCTGTTGCTAATGCCGCCATTTTGGCTGATGATTATCTCAATGACCTCGAGAATCTCCGTGAAATGCGCGAGGTTTTCCTAAACGACAAAGGAGACGACATCATTTCAAAATTCTTTTCCGTAAAATTTGCTTTTGAGAGAGGAGATTCAGAAGGGGGGATTTTATGAGAAAAATATGAACACAAAAAGAGAAAATGATGACCGTTGCAAGAGTGACAACGCGGTGAGGGGAAACGGACAAGGCCAAACAGTATCGGGAGTTATTGAGACGTGGCAGTAAATGATTGGCGGTAATGAATGGAGTTTGGTGGGAGTTGTTTAAATCTTGACTCGGTCGCTTTGAAATCGTTAATCCTAAAATGCAAGTTTTATGTTCTGCCTGTCTTTAGAACTTTTTAGTATTTTTGAGTTGTCATTTATTTCTATTTTTAATTGATTTTTAATATTTTCAAAACAATAAAACAAATTTATGGTGAAAATTATACATTGATTAAGTCTTAATGAACGACATTTCACATATTTACCTCAAAAATATTTAAAAAAAACTCTAATAAAATAAATTATATATCACGAAGACACGAATAATAAGTTAGTTTAGTGAGATGAGACACTAGATCCTTAAATAAGGTCAGAGGTAAGAATTCTAGCCATTGCGGGTGGAGTGAACTGGGTTGGGAGGGTCACCCTTACCTCTATAGTATTCAATTCGCATTAATCGATTAATAGATCGAATACAGGTGGTTATACCATTAAATCTTTGAATAATATTAGCATGTAAACCATGAATCAAATACTTTACCAAGCTTTAAGTAGATTTAAATAAATCATGCTTAACTAATTAACACAGTGAATAAGTTATCAAAGCTCAATATATATATAATAACTTCAATCATGACATAGATTAATGGATGAAGCAAAGTTGTTCAACAAACAGATTCAAGTTCATGCAGACCTCATAAATGGAAGCCTTTTATTTCAACAACATACATATAATATATATATATATATATATATATATATATAAGTAAAATTATCTTATAAAATCAATACTCATTTGTTCACTTAAGTAGCTGATGGAATGGCTCAGTTGAGTCCTGCATACACAGATTAAATAAAAATAAAGACACAAAAATCAGTGTTAATCTTGCTAGTCTTAGCAATAGATTAGGTAAAAATAAAACAACATTACCATTTTTCTCATTACAATTTAAAATTTATTAATTTTATGTGTGATCTTAGTTTAATATATATGATAATATTTTTTATTAGTTTAAATGATTATAAAATATTATCTATTTAGAATTTCCTTACATTATTGAGCTTTGGTTGATTATCGTTTTCCAGCATCAGTCCAAAATGAATGTGAGGGAAGCGAGCCCACTGTAGTTGAGGACACAAAAACAAAACTCGGAATGATTAACTTTATGTGATCGAAATTCCCTTACACCTCGAAGAGAACGACTTTCAAGATATTGTAATAACAACGATGACACCCATAGAACGACTTAATCTGTCACGACCAGTGAGAAGCATATTCAATTATTTCGGTTTGGATGATGAAAAATGAATGTTGAACTTACATTCTTAGCAGCAGTGCTAAATGCCTCCCTATGAGTGATATCAGGATTGCTCAGCTTGATCCTCTGAATCTCCTCCCTACAAACATACCACATTTTTTTAGTTTATAACCATGTATTAATCAATAACAAAGTCAGTATAGTTAATGATCAAATTACTTGATGAACTGATTGTACAATGAAGGAGCCCTATGCCTCTTGTCAGGAGCTGGGAAAAGAAAAAGGAAAAATAGCAGTCCATGAAACCACAAACCCTAAACCCAAAATCTAAATGTTAATGAAATAAATCAGACACCAATAATACTTACGTCGATTAACAACCCTTTCTGGAGTGGTTGTATTTAAAGTTGTTGGTCGCTTCGATGGTGGCTGCTTGTTCTTGCTTCTAGAGGAAGAGCCTAGGTCAATTCCGTACTCCGATGAGGTGTAGTTAGGCACCTTAACATCCAATAAAACTGACATCAGTTAACAACATTTCGGAATTCAAATTACGATCACGATGCATGCTCGATTATATAATATTGATTATATACTGGGCCAAAGAATGTTGGGATTACGATCGAACCTCTCTGAAAATTTTAAATTCTCATGTGATTTAAGTATTTTTTATATTTTATATCGATAATTTAAGGCCTCTAATATTTTATAATTGTGTACTCACTAAACTTTTAATATAATTTCTAAATCTGTACAATTGCTAGGAGATGACCTTAGTCATATCTCGATGTTTACTAGGTTTCATTGTAAGTACTAGACTGGGAATCTATCTCTTTGATTGGACAAGCATGAATGCAAGATCAAACATGGTTAAATTTTGTCTGTAAAAACACAGCATTATCCATTTGCTTTTTCTCAAAACTTTATTTGGATTTCGTTTCCCCATAAAATGAGCAAACAAAGGAAAAACAACACTGAAGACAACTTAAGAAAAAGGATAAAACAGTGTAGTGATCAAAGCCTATATAAACCCTAAAGTTCATGTCAATCAAAACCAAAGTAAAGACGTTTAAGAGTTGGGGCTCAATTAATGAAAAAAGAGGGGAAACCCTAAAACTTTGCATTGCACTAATTAGCAGCTCCTAGGGTCCTTTTTCAGCTTAGAAAGCCTAAGTTTCAAGGCCCCGAGAAAAACTATAGGATTTTCCCTGGAAATGAGGAAAAAAATCCCAGAAAACCTGGATCTACAAGAAAATTAAATTGAAAAAGAGAACCTGAATATCTTTTCCAGCCCTTGATTGAAAGGAATCCGCCAAGTTCACTGAACAAAGATTGGTGCACTGCCCACAGCGGACTGTTACCGTTTCAAACAAGCTGCTGCATGGAACATTCACCTGCAGAAAATCATGTACAGATTTTAGGTCATGAAAATAATTTGCTTGTTAAAAGAATTAGGGCGTTTTTTTGGGTCTAAATGGAAAATATAAATGAATAACATGGGACCTTTCCATGTCCGAATCATGCAAAAGAAGGGAAATGGTTTTTTTTGTCTAAAATCCCAATCAGTACAAAATCTAGGGCTTTGTTTGATATTTTTTTTATGTTTATAAGTAGCCAACACTCAAACACTGGCTGGACTTTCTCATCTTTCGAAAGCATCTTTCCTACATAAAAATGGGGGTTTTGAGGAAGACAACAGATCTAGTCCCTTTCGTTTTCCATTATATTAAAAGGAAAAAAGAAAGAGAAGCTTTTGGGCTTTGCAAAAAAGAAAACAAAAACTTCAAAGAAGATGGTGCCCTAATCTAATAGGGTAAAGGTTAAGGTAATCATGGATCAAAAATATGAAGGAGATGTCATCTTCATCCAATAATATCAGCTAATACATCATCCCATGCTTGTTTTCTCTTAAAAAAAATGAATTTAAGGCCCATTTTTTAACAAATTCTCAGAGATCAGAGGGTAAGATCTGCAAAAGAGAAAGAAATTAAGGGAACTTATGACTTTTCTGCAAAAGAATGAGAAAGAAGTTTTGGGATAGTGACCTGACTTCATTACATGGAAAACCTTAAAATAATCATACAGAAGAGAAACCCAGCAAAATAAGATTCTCTTGCAAAGAAAATAAAAGAAGAAAGCTTTTGAAAGTTTGGGTCTGTGATATAAACTGAAACTGGAAATTTTATGAGCAAAAACATCTTTGGTTTATTCATTTATATTATATCTATTGAACGACTGAAGACCTAGCATTCTTCTGCAACTATACAAAGGCATTACGTTTTGCAGTAACAGAAACTCACATCATGGTGACGATGATGATGTGTATTAGATTATATATATAAAAAATCAAATAAGAAGGGAAAAAGGGTTTAGGTTCAAAATTAAATACCGCAAGAATGATGTTGCAAAGGTTGCAAGGGATGTAGCAGAGCTGTTCTGGTGCAGAACTGTTGGAGCTTGACATCTTATTTTCTCCGATACCAAACAGAAAAGAAGATTTCTTTGAATTAGATTTGAGACAAAGAACAAGAAAAGAAGAGTGATGAAGAGAACAAATCAAACGCAGACACAAAGTACATAATTATAAGATCAAGTCATCTAACAACACAAAAATCACATCAAAGAGAAAGAAGAGAATGGAAATTAAGAAAATGAAATTGAAGAAGCAGTAGTGAACAAAGAAGGTAAAGGCAGGCTGAGAGAAACGTGGGATTTGTAGTGCCATGGCAGGCAGCACTAAAAAAGAGTACACTCACTCTCTCGTTAACGTTTTCAAACATCACAGTCAGTCACTCACTAAGAACGAAAGAAAGAGAAATGGTGAATGGGGCCATGGGAAAAGCAGACAAAACAATATGGGGTTAGGGTTAGGAATCGACTTACAATTCAAAGGTGGTTAATGGATTTTTTCTTCTTTTTTTGCTAAAACAAACTAATCTTTCACTTTTCTTCTTCTTCTTCTTCTTACGCTGAAACTACAGTGGAAACAGCATATTTGAATGAGAAATCATTGAGAATGCTCTTCTTGTTTATATAATGAATGAAATGACATGAATTATTCTTTACTTGAATTATGGAGGGGCTTTGGGTTTGATTCAGAAGACATATTCACAAAACACATGCAAATGTTGTAATATTTAGGGGACACGGTTACTTTATTCGAGATTATAAAGTGTGTTTCAAAGTGTCCTGTGCAAGGTATTGATGGAATATCAATGGACCCTCTCTTTTAGAATCAGACTATGTTAGTCGATGTAACTTTGCCAACCCCAGAAATGAACCACAAAGAAACATCTAAGTTGATTCGTTATCTTATCAGATTTTGAACTCTCATTAATAAACAGCAAATCCAATCTGAATTAGCTTTTTCAAAATGCCTTTTTTTATTTCTGATTATGCATCAGATTTGACCAAGAATCATTATACCGCAAATGCAAAAAGAGACAAACAACTTTTGCAATACAAAATTTCAGACATGTTGAATATGTAAATTTCTTTTATACATTAACGAGGGAGAGAGAGAGAAATTAATGCAGTGATTAATTATTTTTTTATATAAAAAAAGTGGGTTTCACTCGTCGTTTTCGATCCCAATGCTTGTACAGTTCAGCGGTTCTCTCTGAGCTATAAAAGGAAAAGGGGCTATTAGTGTCTCAGACTGGGAATCCTGAGAGAGATGAACGGCAGACAAACAAATGTTTCATACTTTGAGGGGAGCATGTCGAAACCACATCATGTTTGCTTTTTTCATTTATTCAGGTACGTAGGGATGAATCAAAGAGATGGGTGGAGATAGTCGTCTTCTGAAATTTTAAAATTACCATATATTTTAGTTTTTTTTTATATGCATTTTCTATTGAAAAATTTGTTTTCATCCCTTAGAATTTTATAAATCTATCACCTTTTAAAATTTTAGAGGTTCACCCCTATCATAAAATTCTACGTTCGTCCCTACATGTACAATCTTTGTGTACTAAAGAAATTTTCATTCAAAAAGAAAACAAACTTTCTATTTGGTTCTCGCGAAAGTGCCAGATAATATTACAAATGAAGAGTTTTACAGTAACTTTAATCGTTTTCTATGATGAATTTTGATAAAAATACTTTTGTAGATCCATGATAATTTCTAATTTGACAAATTAATTATTATCATAAACTATTTTAGAAGCCTCATATTAAAAAGTAACACATGACTAATCTATCTTTTGAGACGAGCCTAGATGTTATTGTATTAATAATTGACAAAAGTATTAAACAATTAGTTAGTTTAGCAGGATATGACACTAACCTTTTAAGTAAGATTAAGAGTTAAAATCTTTGAATTACAAATGAATATCTATTCAGAATTTTATTAAAATATTGGCAACGCACATGCCTTACATGCGCAACTACTCAAAATTAAGACCAATGAAAAAATATTTTATTTTACCCTTGAATACAATTGATGAATTCAATTATTAAATCATTTCCGAGAAGCTTAGTTAGAAAAAAAATGTAATTAATTTGATATTATATCCCAAAACCCTATGAATTTAACATGAAATATCATTGATTAAACCTAGAAACACCCAACTAAGTAAGAAAAAAAAGGATACGGAAGAAAGTACATGTAGTCTATAATATCTATCAATGGGATTTGAGAATTAGGTCAGACCTCACCTCATGAAAAAGGAATCACTCAACCCTATTAAATCAAATCTAAGCCATCAACTCTACCAACACAAATATTCCAACGGCAGCTCACGAATAATTTAATTAACCTCAGGTCTACAGGTTTTGTTTATGAACTAGGGCTTTGGTTTTCAAAAAGAATAATTCTGACAAATGGTCATGTATAAAGAAAGACAGCCTAGGACACGAAGAACCGGTTAAATAGTCATGTCTGAACAGTTGTTTTCATTAAAACTATGTTTAAAAGAAGATAAGCTGAAATCTTTTAGATTTGCAGAGGCTAAAGAGGGCTAGCATTTATGCTATACGATGGAAAAGAAAACTTCAGCCCTTTCACATGACTTTCACGCAATTTCTTGGCTGCCATATTCTCAAAGCTGCTGCTTGCACCACTTTTCTACACTATATATATATATATATATATATAATAGAGTGCATATGCAGAATTTTATATTGAGATTTTATAAAATTTCAGAACATAAAAATAAATTATTAGTAAAAAGTACATAAAAAATATTTAAATTATATGAGAATTTAAAATTTTCTGGGGACGATCACCCCATCAACTTCCTCGATCTATTCCAACATATATATACACGTGTGTGTGTGCACGCGCGTGCGTGTTAAGATACCCATTGCCTTCAATCACTTAAGGGGCCCATGGATACCTAACTAATGCACCATAAAATCTTGTGATAAATCCTTGAAAAGTGAAGTTTCATATACTTAGCCCAACAATTATGTAACTCCATCTCTCTTTGTCACGGATGATGCTTCATCATGTAACTCCATACATGCATATATATGTAGATATGGACCGACATATGGATATTTGGGTTCTTCTTGTTTAACTTAATATTGCAAATCTTGTTTGGTTTTTGTACCTTGATCTGTATTACTTGTACGAACCAAGTTTATCATAGGGAGCATTCTTGTTTATATTACTCAAAACTAATTAAGCATTCTCTAAATCCTTATGTTTTATCATCTTTATGCATATGTTTTGGTACTTGTACACGAAAGTGTAAAGATATGTAGTCGTGTCAGTGTCACATTCTTTATGAACAAATGACGTTATCTGAATTGTTTTCATAATTAATTTCTTGTTTAATCTGTCTATCCAACTAGTTTGATATAATTTTAATAACACTGATATTATCTCAAAAATATTTTTAGAAATATCAATTTTCGTGTAACCAATAGAACATGGAGATAGAGATTGTTGAGATGATTAGGGGTTATGGGGAGGTGACAATGATTGAGGCAAATGTTTCACTAAAGTCTAACAAACAGGCTCATTACTCAAAAAACGACATTTACTTCTGTCCATAAAATGGAGACTGTCATTGCTGTTCTTTTACATGCAATTTAGCTTCAATTATTAAAGGTGAATATTAACCATTTCACCCTGCTTTAGTTAATTGACTAATTGACGTTAGGTATGAAACCCCTAGACCTGACATATACGTCTCGACCGAATCTCGAAGAACACAACAGTGTTTCGATTGAACAGGAATCAAGTAATTTTTATATTTTAATATGCATCCTTGGTAAATCGTAAAAAAAAAATCCCGAAAGCAAAAGTAGGAGTTCAGAATATATATGTATATATAAGTGAGTATATACACTATGAGTTTAAAATCCAAAACAAGTAAAATAATTTAATATCTTAAATTCCTATAAATAAATATATATTGCTAGCAGAAAGGAAATGACATATAATCTGAAAAAAATGTACATACGATGTCTAAAGAAAACGGCTACTAACGATCCTCTAAGTACCGGTCATAGTCTTAGAAGTCTGAGTAATCTGAAAAAGACATAAACTAGAAAGTGAGCTACAAAGCTCAGTGTGTCTTCTAAAGTAAAACAAATAACGTAATATAAATATAACACAACACAATTAAAGTGTAACAACAAATCAGAATTAATCTTCAAAATGCAACATCAATAGCAACCTTTCACCGTAGATAAATCCCATACAAAATAGATCGGGGAATAAATCCCATACAGAACAGATCAACAAATAAATCTCATACAGAAACATGAATGTATCAATATGCAGATCATGAATGATGCAACGTTATTCAAAATCGTCGATGTCATAGGTAATTGTAATCAAATTACGAACATGCTTTAGGCAGTAATATTAAACATAATAGCATAACATATCAGAGAATAAAGAAGACACACCTATAGTCGCTAAACGATACCGGCTAAGCCTTGCACTTCCCATAGTCGGTCGTACTAGGTCCTAAGTTAAGCGAGCAGAATTGAACTGAGCTAAGGGAGGGAGGTTGGAATGTATCGGAGAACGATGCAGAGAAATGTGATCACCTTCAGAAAATAGTAGCAAAAGTGAGTCCAAAATCTAACAATTTATTTAACATATTTACGACTTTAAATGTAAAACGACATAAAACAAAGCTTTCTAGTCAGAAAATGACAAAACGGACTCAGGACGTCGAAAAATATAAAGATAGTGGTTTTCAGAAAAAAGTCAACATGCCAAAAGTCAACAGTTAACGGTCAAAGCTTTCGGGTTAGATTTTGACAAAACAATATCGAAATTGTTCTTCAGTCAAGCTTAAAATAGGCAATTTTCAAAGGGGAATATCGATATTGGGGTCCCAGTCTCGATACTGACCAGGTTGGTATCGAGACTGAAATTTCATAATGTAATTTTGGTACCGATACTCACGTAGAGTATGGATACCAAGGCAAGGGTATCAATACTACAATGGTGGTATCGATATTGAGATTATTTTCAGAACATCGAACCCAAATTTGGTATCGATACTCATGTTAGTATCGATACCCCAGAGTCAAAGTATCA